GTGTCCGGGGCTGCCGTGGAGGTGGCCCAAGCTGTAGGGCTGGGGCCGGTTCTTGTTTTGGGGACCCCCGATGGGTTTTGCTAGGGGTGTGCGTGGGAGAGAGGGGAGGAAGAGAGCAGGGGCAAACCCACCCGTCTGGGCTTCTCCTGCTGGGTCTTTCCCCAGGTTAAAATCCCTTTCCTCCTGCCCCTTGGGGCTTTCTCTCTCCCGGGGCTGCTGCAGGGCAAGGGGTCAGCGTGGGGTTCCTTCCTCCTGGCGGGATCGGGGGCGAGGGAGGAGCTCGCCACCCTTTCCGTACAGACCCCTCCATTCACACCTCCCTCTCCCACCCCATTAATTTGTTGTGGTCGGGGCCAGTAATAGCTGCTTTGTGCAAAGGCGAGGGAAGGAGGAAAAAAAACCCCAGCGCACAGACAGCGGCTCCAGTGTTTTCTAAAAGGGATGTTTTTCCCCCTCCGTTCTCTCTCTCTTTCCCTTGAATAATGTTTTTGATTGTAATAGCCTGTCCTGGTTAGGGAAACCCACAGCCTCTCCCCCTTCCCCTCCCCTCTTCTGTAAACCCTGGTAGAAGTTTAAACAACCTGGAGAGATTTTTCTCACCAGTCTTATTTTACTAATAGGAAACAAGTGTTTAAAGCAGCAAAGGGAGCTTTGAGCTGCTGGCAAAGGAATAACTGACCCTGCAGAGAGGCATTGGGGTCCCGCTCGGAGCTATGGGCTGGGGCAGGTCGCAGGCTGGTACCTCGCTTTGAGCCCCCCGGGACAGTCGCAATCTCGGTGTCCCCCCAGGGACAGGCCATGCATGGCCAGCTCCACCGACACGCGCCAGCGAAGCCACGACAGGAGAAATGCTTCAACCATGGAACAAGTTATCGTTTGCTCTCGTGGAGCCGCTCAGCCTAAGGAGCCCATGCCATAAAAAACCAAGCCCCATTTGGTTTGGTGCTTGCAACGTTTTTGTTCCTTGAGTGAAGGAGAAAACTCCATATCCCAATTTCCTGGTTTTCACCAAAAATCCAAAACTCCCGCTGAGCTGGAAGGGACCCTGGAGCAGAGGGGAAGGACCGTTCCCAAGGCTGGAGCAAATCCCAGCTGAGGATGGGTGATGGTGCGGGTGGGGGGTGCCGGGAGCAGCCTCTGCTCAATGAGGTGCTGGTGCAGGGAGCTGGGGCGCAGCTGCCTCCCCCGTAGAAGATCCGATAAACCCTCCCACTGCAGATCCAGATGTTGTGACCGCCAGCTGTTCGCAGAGCTATTTCCATTTTGGATAAGCTCCGGGTGATGTGGTGGTCCCACCACGGGGTTGCTGCGTGGGAGAGGCTTGGGCAGGAGCGCAGTGTGCAGGCGCAGGGTGCTCTGAAGGTGGGTGCTGAAATAGGTATCGGGTCTAAGTATCGAAGGGGAGAGTGCAAGCGAGGAGAAACCTCATCTAATTCTCTGCCCTTGAACATCCCTTCAAACCTCTCCTGTCTGTCCTTCAGTTGTCAACTCCAAGAGCCGTGTTTTCTGCCGCTGGGGACATGGGGCTTTACTTGGAGCGGTTCAAGTTCACCGTGTCTGCCTGCCTAACCCCCTTTTATCAGGCTTTTTATCTCTTGTGCCTGGAGAAACGGTCCTCACGGCAGCCTGCCTCCTCCTGTGCTACTTTACTGACAGACAGACGGGCTCTCTCCTCCGGCTGGTTTTGGCTCTGGGAGGAAAAGTGCCGCCTTTCCGTAGGATGCAGGGGGGGGGGAAGAGAGAAAGAAAGCAAAATCCTGTGGCTAAAATATACTTCTCTTCTGATGAGCCCCACGGCTGTAAGGCTTATGTAGGAGTGGTTATGGTTAAGGATGGTGCCGGTGAGAGCTGGGGCAGGTTATTGGAGAGGGACCGGCTGCCCCCCTGGGAGGGAGGAACCCCGACCCTCTGGGGGACCCGTGAGCCTGGGACTGCCCCAAATGCCGGGGTCCTGGGATGCTGCGGCTCCCGGGAAGCCTCGGGTTGGAAACGCCTCATGGGGCCTCCCTGGACAGGTCTCTTCTCCTCCATCTGGTCTCTGTCGCTCCCAGGGCTGGTGCTGAAGCTGATTAAATGCTGCAGAGCTCTTTGAAGATGAAGTTTGCTGTGTTCGTGTTAAATATTAGCATGACTAGCCCCAGGGCTAGCTGCACTTTTCTATTCAAAAGGCCTATCTTTAATAATGTCTTTTTTTTTCCCCAGCTCCCAGCAGCCTACCCCAGGCAGGCCTATCTTTAATAATGTCTTTTTTTTTTTTTCCCAGCTCCCAGCAGCCTACCCCAGTGTGTGCTTTCCGCCTAATATCTATATATATATATTTTTTAATATATATTTGTGCTTTTTTGTGTGGATAGGAACTTGGCAATCGGGATTGGGATTCAGAATTTCCCGGAGGGCCTGGCTGTCAGCCTGCCTTTGCGTGGCGCTGGATTTTCAACGTGGAAAGCGTTCTGGTAAGCCGAGCTCCTCTTTGCCCATGGAAATGAGAGCCCTCTGCCAGCAGCTCCTGACGAGCGGGTGCCCACAGATTTCCTCCCTGTATCCATTTGCGTTGCTCCGTCATTGAGCTGCCCTTGGCATGGGCTTGCTCCAGACCTGCCGGGTCCCCTCCTGGCATCGCGGAGAGCTGCTGCTGGGAGCGCTGCTGGTTTCCAGCTTTGAGGAAGGGCAGTGAGTGCTGCCCTGCTCCCTCCACAGTGCCCGAGCTCAGGTCCGAGCCCCTGACTCTCAGGGGATGCCTCGGTGATCCTGGTGGGTCACGCCATCCCGCTTCAGCTGAGCGCCTGTGGTGAGCTCCCAGCTCCTGCACTAAACGTGGTTTTTTTGTTTTTTTTTTTAATTTTTATTTTGTTTCATTTTTTCTCTCACTTCACTCTGGGCTGGATTTCAAACCCACTTTTTATTTTTTTCTTTTCCTTTTTCCCTGAGGTGAAAAAGCTAAGGGCATGAACCCTGCGAGCGCAGGGCTGCGTTCCTGCCTGTGCACGTGTGCTCGGCCGGGTGATGGATGGGAGGGCAGAGGGGCGGCTTGGAAACGGCTCCCGCCGAAGCTTTGTTTTCTTTTCCTCCCACCCACCTCCATTTCAGTAAGCGCAGCCGGTGCTGGGACTTGCACCGGGATTGCTGCTGCCGGGAAGGGAGTTCCCATGGTCCGGAGAGTTAAAACAGTCCTAGAGGGAAAGAAAGCGAGGGGGAAGAGCACAATTTCATCCTGGTTGAGGCTGTGGCCAGATGTCATCTTTGGGATTGAGCTATGCTGGTTGGAAACGTTTCCTCTCTTGACCCGTCCCTGCCCATGAGCTGGATCCCCAAATCCCGCAGAGCTCTTGGGGGAAGGAATCGGATTGTGCCTTAATTCCCTTCCTAGAAAAATCAGCTAGGTTAGGTCAAATCACCTTCATTGCCCGTTTAAAATAATCCAGGTGGCTTGGCTTGACATGGCCGGGTGGCCGACCTCCTCCCGGACACGGTGGCATTAGGGAGGACAGTGGGGATGGGGAGCTGCAGAGCCCCGGCAGCCCCGCGGGAGGGCTGTGCCGCCCCTCGCGCTGGGTCCCCGCTGGCTTTTAGTCTCGGTCTTTTGCAGGTACGGGCAGCTGAGCGGCATGGTGGAGCCCTTAGCCGGCGTCTTCGGTGCCTTCGCCGTGGTGGTGGCAGAGCCTCTCCTCCCCTACGCCTTGGGCTTTGCGGCTGGAGCAATGGTCTACGTGGTGATGGATGATATCATCCCTGAGGCACAGACCAGGTGAGACCCCCTCGGTGACCACCACTAAAGGCAGATAGACACGGGGGGAAGCGCAGAGGACTCTGGAAGATCCCTTCCCTTGCCCGGATGAGGAAGCAGCGCTTCCCTCATCCAAAAAGCCGGTCCTGGCTCCTAGGAGCTCACGCCCTTCCCTTTTCTCCCTGCAGTGGCAACGGGAAGCTGGCTTCCTGGACCTCGATATTAGGATTTGTGGTGATGATGTCCCTGGACGTTGGGCTCGGGTAGGGCAGCGCACTGCTCCCCAGGAGAAGACTTCAGAGCAAACTGAGTGGCGGCGTTTGGAACTGGACATGCGTTATCCTCTAGACTTTTTTTGTATATATATTTTTTTTGGATCTGGTTTGGTGTTGATTTCCTATAATTTTATATCTCTTCCTCCCCTCCAACGTCATGTCGATGGTTTTCAAAGCACAAATACGGGTGGTTCCTCGCAGGTCCTGGTTTCCTTTCGCCACCAGATTTTCTTTTCCTTTCGGGAGGGTTGTTGGACGACGCGTCGGCTGGGCTGCAGGTCACCCTGTCCTTTCCCTTCCGCGCTGGGCTGGTTTCTCTGAGTCAGGTCGCTCTGGGTTTTGATCATCTTTGTTCTGTAGAAGATTAGAAATTCACTGTCGCGTGTTTAAGCTGGTCTGTGGTTAAGTACCAAGGCATTTGAATGGAGTAAACTCCTTACGGAGTCTCGATTTCCACACTGTTTTCGAAGGGCAGGTGGAAGGCATTAGGGCTAAGGTAACACGTACAGCACTGCGGGACCGCAGGTCTCGTGTATCCTGCTGGTCCTTGGGAATGTTTTAGGGTGTTAGTTTTGATGGATGCAAATAGTCCAGGCAAATAAAAATGAATTTTCTCGGGATCTCTGCAAGAGGGAAATGTCATCTTTTCCTAAATTTATCTCCTAAGCGGAGCTTTGTTCCAATGCATTGTGTCCAATACCTCGAGGTTTTCTCTGAAGAAAAAACCAAACAAACAAGAGAGAAGAATATTTGTGTTTTCTAGCATGTACTCTTTGAAATGGCAAGGTGTGGTCATCCACGTCGTTGATGATGTGCTGCCTGACTGGTGTACAGCAGGATGCGTTTCCACGTGGGCCCATGACTCTGGCCTTACCGAGCGATTGCTGGTTTACGGCTGCTGGTTCCAATGGTTCATAACTCCCCGAAGAGCCGACGCAGGTTTTTCCCGGTGGTGGCCCTGGTCGCACTTCACCCCGCAGAAGAGCTCGGAGCTGAGTCAGGACCTGAGTGTGCCGGGAGCTCTCGTCTTCCTGAGCAGCAGCAGGATGAAATAATTCATCAGAGTGAATTAGTTATCCTACCTGAAGAGCCAGAAACATGCACCGCGTGTGCCTGCCCCTTCACCCTCTGCTTTTCAAGCATCTCTTGTTGAACGGCCATTCCTGAGCAGGCAGGATTAGTCCCTTCCAGGCTGAGGAGCGAGCCCTGCCTGTCCCTCCCTGTGCCTGGTGCATGCTTGAGTGAGGAGCAAAATGCCGAAGTCGGAAGGATGCTGCAAACCACACCTCCCTCTTCGCTAAGGATGCTTCTGTCTTCAGTAAAAAGGGGTTCATTAGACCCTTCAGCGGGTATAACTGGATCGCCTGGCTGCTGCCTGCATCTCAGTCCCTCCGCAGCCACGGGGCTCTTGGGGGAGCGGGGCTGCGAGCGTGGGGGGTCACGGACCATCATTCGGTCCTGCCGGAGAAGCTGCAGGAAGGGCAGCCAAAGGGAACAGTCTTGAATAAACTTAAGCTAGAGCCATGCATTTTTGTTTGGTTCTTTTTTTGGTTGGATTTCATTTGTACTTCATTTGTGTGTCACTCTGGATGATACAAAACTACTGTTTGCCAATGGATTTGACCTTTTAACTGTGATTGGTTTCAATAAATGGGAAATTCAGAGTTTGCACTGATTTATTTTAATGCTGTAAAGCCGTACCTTTGCTTCTCCTCCCTCCATTCCGCTACGTTTCTTTTCTCCAGCTTAATTGTTCCTGGCTTGTCAAAGGTCCTGCCTCTCAACCAGGAAGGCAGCCTCTTTGGGGAAGAAAAAAAAGGGAAAAAAAAGCCAAAGAAAGGCGGCTTTGCAGTGCCTCATCCAGGCACCCGTGAGTGTGTTTTAGCGTTCACTGGGTTTGCTGCAGCCGACCCGCTCACCCCCAGGTCCAGTGCCTGACACTGGTTCATGCCTTATGACTCAGAAAAAAGCAACCGCAAGAAATCCCTGGGGAAAAAAAAAAAGCAGCTCTGCCTGCACGGACCTGGGGGTGCAGGTGCTGCGGTCGCACATAGTGTGTTTTAGCGTTCACTGGGTTTGCTGCAGCCGACCCGCTCACCCCCAGGTCCAGTGCCTGACACTATGCCATGCCTTATGACTCAGAAAAAAGCAACCGCAAGAAATCCCAAAAAAAAAAGGGAAAATAAAGCCAAAGAAAGGCGGCTTTGCAGTGCCTCATAGGCACCCGTGAAAAAAAAAAAGCAGCTCTGCCTGCACGGACCTGGGGGTGCAGGTGCTGCGGTCGCACATGGGGGTGTACACACACACACACACACACAGGTGCTGTCCCTGGTTCGGCTCAGCCCCGGGGCCAGCCGCAGGGGTGATGCTCGATTGGGGCAGCCCAGAGCGCTGCTGTCCCAGAGGATGGGGATGGGAAGGGGGACCCGACCTTCCCCGGGATCGGCGGAGATGAGCCGGGTCTCTCCAGGCACAGGGGAAATTTGGGGTTACGGCCCTCAGCGGGAAAAACGAGGGGTGTCAGGACCCTCTTTTTAAAACCAGCGGGTGAGAGCTGTCCCTGCCATCCTGGGGCAGGAACGGGCAGGGAGAGGGAAGGGACCTGCCCACGGCCGGGAACAAGAGCCCTGCGGCCGGTGTCTCCTTCCCGGTGCCACCAGTGGAAAGGCTGGGTGATCTCCCACTGCTCTTCACCTCATTTCTAGACACACTAGAAGTGTTTGTAAACCTTTTAGCCCTCTGTTTTCAGCCGAAAGCCTTCGCCTGAAACTTAAAAACCTCAGGGGTGTCCACGGGTCGGGATTCCTCGCAGACTGTTGGTGATATTTTCTTACTTGATTTCTGGCGTGCGGTGTAAGTTGGTACAAAAAACCACATTATACATTTAAAGGCAGCCTTGTAATCAGATTGCTGTGAGATAATATCACGTAAAGCATTTAATCCTGCTTAGATGTAGCCGGCCGAGATAATTATGTATATTGGACCCCTAGGAAGCGAATGGGGAGGGTGATGCAGAAAGCACATACGAAAATCCTTCTTTTCTGTTTGTACCCTGGAGGTGAATGAAATTATATATCTGTTCCTTGGTATGACTGAACAGCTGGCTGGGGGCCAGGCCTGAAATTACCCGTGGAAACAATAGCTGTCAATGAAAAGGTGGAGTTTGGAGCAAAGGCAATATAAACACACAGCCAAGCCCCACAAAATGGAGACGGGCTCTGCTCGTCGGCCGGGAGGAGCCGGCTCTCGTGCAGAGACCGAGCTGGAGGGAAAAGAGGAAAGTTATCCCGTGGTTGGAGCTGGGTCTTGGGAGACCGGGGTGTGCTTGGCCCCAAACCCTTGCCAGCATGCAACCGGGGCTTTGCCCTCCCGGGGGGGCTCTGGCAGCGATGTGGTCCCCCCCCATCATCGGCAACGGCCGCTGAGCCCCCTCGGTAAAGCTGTCCTGTGTCTTTGCCTCTGTGAAATGGGGAGAAGCCCCTGACCCGCAGCACAGAAGGATGTACGCTCATGGTGAGCACGGGGCGGGGGGTGGCTGTCTTTCCATCCTTTTGATGGGTGACGGTCAGCCTTCGGAGGGGCACAGCGGTGCCTGGACCAGTTTGAAATGTCCTTTGAGCCCCTTACAAGTGTAATATTAAATTGTAGCATCAACGCTGGTGATTTCTCCCCCCCTACTAATTTTTCAGTAAAGCCTCACATATACAAAAACTTTAGATTCTTGGGTTTTATCTTAAAACGGTAATAACTTTTTGCATTGGCTGAAGGAAAACTTAAAGTGTGACTCCCCTCCATCCAAAAGCCTCAAACCCCAAAAGGTAAAGGGAAAGATCTTTCCCTAAACAGCGCGTGTATGTGCTTTTGCAACGGGGTTTAAAAATAACGCAAAACCCGGTATAAGTTTGTGGCCTGTTTCCTGATGCTTTTGTGGATGTTTTGGGGTTTTGCAAGCCCTGCTAATGACCGAGGGTGACCTGAGTGCTTAGCTGAGAACTTGAAAATCCCCCAATTCTTCACAGCCCCGGAGGTGGCTGCGTTTGGCAGCGGGCGAAGCTCGGAGGCGGTTTGGCGCTGCTTGTGCAAGCACGCGTGCCCCGGGTGTGGAGCTGGTGCTTGGAGAGCTTTGCCAAGCAAAGTTGCTGCGAAAAAGCCCAGCAATGCAGCGCCGGGTGTATTTTGCTGTTTTCCTTGTGCTTTTTTTTCTTTCAGAGGCTGAATCACCGAGACGCCTTCCGGCGGGACGGCTGTGGGCACGGCACGCAATCGGGCAGTTAATGGCTGGCAAGAAGACGGTGGAGGAGTCCACGGGGAAACTCCTCTGCAAGCAGGAGAGTTGCCCGGGACAAGCGTTGAGTTGTGCTTATGGCTAAGTGGTGGATGGAGAGGCTGCTGATAGCTCGGGTGTGCGGCCCTCTACGCGTGTTTGCCAGGGGATTAGGGCTTTGGAGAGGGGATTATTTGGGGCTGTGAGCGCGTAATGCAAAGTGTTGGGCTTCTCCCTTCGGGGATGTGGCTGATCCATCCCGCCCGGAGCTGCGGTGCAAGGAGAAATCGCCGTCCCCTTTGCTCCGGGCAAATCCCACCTTACTCCCTGCCTCCGTGTGATGCCAGGCAGATCCCGGCGGGTGTCAGGGCGGCACGTGGCGGGCATGAAGGTTGGCACCGCAGCACAATGCCTGCTCAGCTGCCGCTCTTCCCTCCCCGGCAGCTCCTTCCCCCTGCCCTGCTCCGCTCTTTCCCGGCTGGGGAGAGCGCGGTGAAGGGCCACGGTTACGGTTGCGCAACCGGGGCAGGGAAAGCACCCCTTTCCCCGCGCCAGCGTGACACGGCTCACGTCGCCCCGTGCGCAGTGCCGTGAGTCAGGGAGCAGGAATGGGCGGGTAGGCCCTCCGCGGGTGCTGGGTGCTCGCCGGCCCGCGCCGGGGTGCTGGGGAAGGCAAAGGCGGCTGCGGTTTGCAGGGCTGGGCGGGGACAGAAAAACCCCAAGCGAGGGCTTTGCACGCAACCGAACAATAATCCCATTATTAGGGCCCATGCCATCAAACAAAACACGGCACAAAACATTACTCAGGCTTGCAAGATGTGCGCCCAGGGTAGATCGTAGCACCTGAGTCATTGCTTATAAAGGAATGGATTTCACCTCCCTCCCCTCCCCTTAGGAAAGAAACAATTCAAACCTTAAGACAAAATGACTTCTATTCTTTGTACGTGGACTTTGTTGTACTTGGCAACGAGGCTGCAATTAAAATTGAGAGACTCTCTCTCGTGCGCACACACGCAGGCTCTCGGCTTCGAGCTCGAGAGCAAACATACGGCTCCTCTTCCTGCTCAGAGTTTGCTCGGGCGCCCCAAGCCCATCGTGCTGGCCCTGGCCGTGCCACATTGCCTTGCTTCATCCCCAGCGTGGACCCCCCCAACATTAGGAACAAGTGTGGTTCTGGGGGACCAGAGGGAAGAAGAGAAATTATGGCTCGGGGTGCCCTTTTCCTAGGGCAGATGTTATGGGGTCATTGAGTTTCCAGTGGAGATTTAATGCCAGTCTCTCTTTTTAGGTATATATTGGCACGCCCTAAGTATGTGTATTTAGTCTTCCATAGCCAACTAGCCCTCAAAAAGCTACGTGCTCGTGTCCGTGCTGGGTTGCTGGGACCGTAGCTCATGGATGATCCCCTGGTTGCCTTTCTCCTGGTTGCTTTACTTAAAAAACCCTTCATTTCAGCTGACCGCTAGAAAGGTGGTGACTGCGGAAAGGTTCCTCTCTGCTGTCTCAGAGGTACGTTCTCCATGCGGTTTCTTATGTGTTGTGTGAAGTGGGAAAGTTCGACACGAGGGTGAAATGCCATTGGTCCAGCAATGGCTCCGCTGCAAATTCTTCAATCTGGAGGGTTGTTCCAAATGGGAAAAGAGGGAAAATTACACACTGTGGGATCTGCATATTGCACAGCTCCAATCTTAGTACCTCTTTTCTTGTTTTAAGGCTTTTACAGTGCAAAGGGCAGTCGTTTGTGCAAAAACAGGGAGAAAATATTCTTAGTATGCCCTTGGTTGAGATTTCTGGGATATGTTTCTGTGCCTTATAATCCTACGAGGGGGTTCTTGACAGCAGGAAACTGAGCCTGAAGGTTTATTTTAATATAGTCTTACAAAATGCTGATGATAACTAAAAAGCTTTTGTGTCCAGAGCTGGTTTGCATGGAGAAATTGTTTAAATCTCTCTTTTGCTGTTGCCTTCTCATGTTCTTACAGGAACAACAAAAGCATTACAGACCCGACACACGCTCGCTCCCCATCTCGTCTCATACAATCCTTCTGCTGTGCCTGAAGCGGAAAACAAAACCACCGCTCCAAAACCCGTATGAAAATAGGAGGGAAGAGAATGGCCTGGATCTACTTTCCTTTTACTGCAAAATAATTTCCCTGCCATAAAATTACCAGCGAGAGCCAAGGGAAGATTAGGTCATAGGGAAAAATGCCGGTTGGGAAACAATGGAGGGAGGTGCTGGTAACGGCCGGGGTGTGGGACTCCCCGCTGCCCTGGGCTCCCCCCAGGGACCCCCACCTCTGCCAGGACCCCAGTCTCTGCCAGCCGCAAGCCCCAGCGCTGCTCCCCCAGCTCCGCACAGGAT